AGACTTCATCCTAAAGCAATTCACCTGGTGAAGTAAGGGCATTGATTTTCTGCTGGGCTTTGTGGTGTGATATGACTTTCTAAAGCACAGCTGCTTTCCTGTCTGCAAACACACATGGTCTTTTGGTGCTCTCAGAGGAGCTATGATTTTTGAAAAATTACCTCGCACATTATTACTTTTATAGCAGCCCAAGTGGGACCTATATAATGTAAAGCAATGGAGGACACCATGTTGATTTATGACTTGAAGCTTTTATAGACCTCAGAAACACTAAACTGTTTTCATGCCAGTGAGGTCTCCACAAGCTCTACTTCACTGTTGCCTATGCTTGACATACAAAGCTTTTAATTCCTAATTTATCCTCTGACCAGCTCAGCAACATGAATTGTTCTGATTTCATAGACTAGTAACCTGGGGGGGAAAGGAGAGCCTAACAAGTACTTTAGATAGTTTTCAAGGGAATTATTACAACAATCAGCTAGAGTCTTTTTACATATAGTATCTAGATGGTTGAGATGGGAATAGGAAAGTCCTTATTGGCAGTGGTAGAAAACTACTGGGTGAACTCATAAGTTAAAGCCCAGGAAGGCTCATTGTGATCCTGTCGTGTGACCTCCACATATCACACAGGCCACTGATCTTCCTCTGCTTAATTCTTCAGTGAATGGAAACACATCCCTTAACCACAGGTTACAAACATCAGTCTTGATTTTAAAAAAATCTGTCCATGATGGAGAACTCTCCACAACTTCTGGTATATTACTCCCAGGGGAATTATGCCCATTATTGTTAGACATTTGGAACATGTTTCTAGCCTGAGTTCGTCTGCTGTCCATTAAGTCTTGTCAACACTTTATCCTCTAGACAGAAGACCTCTGTTATCAAAGATTTATTCCCCAGATGAGTATCTATGCACTCTGATGGAGTCCCTTAGCCTTAAAAATCCCCTCATTTTTTTTTACTGATAAGTCATCTGACCTCTTTGAACCATTCTCTGATCCTGTGCCATTCAGTACTTCACTCATTTTTAAGTGACTCTTTCCTGAGCTCCCTCTATTTTTTCCAGTGAGCTGGTGGTCTGCCCAGTAGAGCAGGATGCAGCACTGTTCCACAGCAGTGAAACCTATCTCCATCTGCCAAATGCAGACGTTATAGGCCCTTCCAGTTCCTAACCAGCATTTTCTTCTCAGTCTCTTACGGATCACACTACCCTTTCTAACCACTATCAGTCCTTGTCATTTTCTTGAATCCAGGATTTTCTCAGAGCCCCAGATTCCTAGCACTGTGACTCCCATCCTGTGAGTGTAGCTTGTGCTCTTTGCCCTACAATGTCGGACTTTACATTTGGCCAGCACACAGTCACTGCTCTTTGCTTCTTTACAGATGACTTTCCTCATCCCCTACCCCAACTTCATGCCATTCACTGTGACATACACAGTCATTTACTTCTCATCAATGATTTGGACTTCTTCCCAATCTGTTAGTAAGGATATATACAAGAAGGGCAAGCTACTTGGTGGTGTTTACTCTTACAGTGATGTTTTTAAACATGCTGACTACTCAGCCCTGAATCCACAGAGCATATGCCAGGCTATTCTGGTATCATCTTGTTTCATAATCAAAACAAAGAGGAGAGGCTTGAAATCTGTTTCCCAAGTATTCATCCTGTGCTGCCTTGAGAGATGCAAAGACTGCACTAAAGCCAGGCTTACAGTGGATTCTGGTGACACAAGTCCCTTGATTACCTCCTGAAATAGGTGTGCAACAAGATTTTTTTCAGAGATCTCTTGAATCCCAAAGATTTTTGTCTCAGGACCAAATGTCACACTACAGGATCATTTGCAATGAATCCTAAAATGTATGCTTACAACCAACATTATCCTTTTGCATATTATGCTGAAGGACTTGCTTGCTGAAGGACCATAGCTTGACCATAGCCTTTTTTGAGACTGATTGTATAACTCTGTTCTACAATATGATTATTTGTTCTTTTCTAAATTGTTTATTTCACTTCACTTACATGTGTGGGTCTGTTTCGCTGCACAGGAGGAAGATGACATTGAGGGGGAGGAAAAAACCCTCCTGCAAATCTTTTTTTTTTCCCCCCTGTATTTTACTTATAAAAAATGCAGATTCAGCTGTTGTGTCTTAATAGCACCACAAACTATTCTTTCAGTGCTTTATACTTTATCACCTATCAACTTTATCACGCTATGTACTCAGGTTGGAAGACAAAATCCCTTTCCTAAAGCATTTACAGCTTTTTGTACATCAGTGTACAAAAGCAGGAGGAGGTGGATGGATGTAGTCCTTGTAACCATAAGACTTTTACCTTCACTTTCATTTTTGCCTAAAGAAATGCATGGCAGCCACATGGGATCATCTGTCATTAATCACTTAATTCAGTGCCTAAGCTGGGTGATATAAACACTTTTATGTGGTTCAGTAAGCTATTTTAGACCATGGTCCTGCTCCAGCAGCCCAAATTCTGGAGTGTAGAGTCTTAGAATACTTTAACAACTCAATTCCATCAGAAACCTGAGCTTATACCTTCTGGCTAAATATGGGTGGTACAAGGGTTTCCATGCAGAAATCGCTCTTTTTCATTTCTCATTTCCAGAAGCCTCTGCTTCTGCCCAGCAAAAATTCTTAATATCTCAGTGAGAATCATGCAGAATAGCTCTGACAAATACTAGCCCCTGCCAGAAAGGGCTAAATAAGGAAATGTAGCCTCCTACCATCTTTCACTCGGATGTATGTGGGTTTTCTTTCTGGTAATGAGGTATATTGGAAGTTTAACTTATCTCTGCTAATGTCAGCATAAATTTGCAAGTCTCTGGCCAACTTATTCTAGTTCCTGGCAACTGCATTAGGGGCCCTTTTCAGTAAAGCACAAATTGCCTTCTTCTGAAACTGCTAATGGACCGAAGTTTCAACATTTCATCTGAAAAGCTCAAAGCAGGAGCAAAGAATCTGTAAGTACCAAAGGCTGGCCAGTACCTTCTATTTTCTCATCACATAATATTCGTACATCTGAAGTAGCGGGAGCTGAAAACAATGCTAAGGAAATATTTTAGAATTGGAATGTACTGCCTGTTCTCCACTTCATTAATGCCCTTTTGTTAGTATTAATCCAAACCTGGCAGATTAACCTGAAGGAAATCAATTGTATTTTCTTCTGATCCTAATTTTAGCACAGGAAATTCTTTGGACTTATATATGCACAGCAGTGAGTAAGTCTGCAATACTGTTGTTGTCCTTAAGCAATTTAGCTGTCACTTGGCCCTGGAGGTTAGATGAAGTCATGAAGAACAACAAAACTATCAGTCCCACAGCACAGTCCTGGAGCTGACAGAGTGAATTAGCTGCCAGTGAATTTGAATAGAAGCATTACTATAGTACTGGTATGGAAGTTGGGAACCTTCACTTACCAAATTCCCTCTGGAAGTGGAATGGTTTGATGCTGTTTTAAGGAAAACCACTTCTTGCTTTGCTCTGTCAAGAAAGATGCAGATTATTGCCCAAGTGCTGTGCTCATTTTTCTTTTCTTAGATCTCTTTGGTGGTGCTGATAAATCTAGCCAGGGCAAATGTTTATATTAGAAATGTGCCATAAGCAGGGTCTATCGATGAATTTAGAATCATATATAGACTCTGGTCATTCTTATATGTGTCTTCTGTCAGAATCTGTACAGAAAAAAAAATGTAGTTAGACTGACTGTACAGTGAGTTTTTAGGCTTGAACACGCTCATAAAGTGTTGCTTGAAAGAACAGTATAACTGGGCCTTGGCAAAACACTTTCCAAAGGCAGGCATGGTACATATAGAAAACAATGTGGTTGTGGACAATAGCAGTGGGAATGGCCAGTGAAAAATGTCATTAAATGGCCCCACTTCAGCTTACTATTTCTTTATAGAAAAAGAAACAATCATCAATCGTATTATTTGATATCAAAACAAGTAGCAAGGATAAAGCTGAGTCTGAAGTACAGTTATGGGCTATGTTTTTTTAGAGCAGGAAGTGTTAAAAATAAGCCTCCATTACAGACAGATACAGTGGCTGCAGCTGGAGTTAAATATCTGTATAGATAGTTCATTTTCTCCTGATCCACAGGCAACAGCTGTGTTCCAAAATAGAAAGACTCCCAGTAGAAATGGGTATTTTTTTTCCAGAGCTTTATAAGTAACCTTTGGCATTTCACTCATTAGTTCTACTCTGGCCCAGATATGTAGTGACCGAAAACTGTAATCGTATTTTGGCTACTAGGTAATCCTTGTGAAGTGACCCAGAAAATGGGTGTACATACCACAAGAAACATTCTCCTTCTTCATTCTCCCCTTCTTCGGGCACTCTGAGAAAGAGGGTAAAAATGGATGAGCCAGAGAAAGCCATTTGCAGCATCAGCTGAGGAGACAACTGGCTGAGGGAGAAGTGGAGCCCTTTGAGCTCATTCAGCTGGGTTCTGGCACTTGTACTCATTGCCTGGCACTGGTCTAATAAGCAGTATGACTAATACCCAGCACAGGCTGTTTGTGCTGTCATCCTCTCTCCAGGGCAAGCAGCATGCATGCAGGTGTGTGATAGGATCCCGCCTCCTTTTTTTTTGATAGGAATATTGCTCTGCATTGATGTTAGAGAATACGGCTGCGAAAGGTGCACACCCTCTACTCTGAGGGGAAGGTGCTGAAATGTGCGACGGTGCTTAGGTTTTGTTCCCCAGCCTCAGAACAGTCCTCCTGAGAATATTTTCTCGGATATATGTGCAGGCTTTACCCTGACCGTAGGCAGTGCTATCAGGTGATGCATTCATAACCATGGCTCCCAGACCAGCACTTACAGGCAATTACTGTCTTTCATTTAAGACAGAAAAAAAAAAAAAATCTCTTAAGCAAACTAGTAAACTAGCCCTCAAAAAGATTGCTAGAGAGCTGATCCAACATTTGGATGCACTTTCTGTGAGTTAGCTAGCAAGGCCCAGCCCCTTCTGCTGACGTCTTTCCTCTCTATCACACATCAGACTTTTCCCTGTGGAGCTGGAGAACAGGCTTCAATGAAAACTGCCTGTTTGCAGCTATAAGGAGATTGCAGACACCACAATCACAATTTCCTCTGCCTGACCTGGAGCAGAAACTCCACCAGCAGGATGGAAAGGTAGCATTATTGCCTAGCAAAGGTGGGATGATTTATCTCTATCTCTAGATTGGTCCCTTTTCTTTGCTGTACAAGAGAATTATCAGACTTTCAAAGAGAATGAAGCCAGGCTAGACATCAGAGTGGATGTGTGAAAGCTGCTTTCCCAGGGAGGAGAAGGAATCACAGGATTTCTGTGCTTTTTGTTGCTGTGCAGCTCAGGACGATGGTTTTATCTGCCCCAGTTATTGCCCTGGGGGCTACCTTAGGGACTGCAACTAGCATCCTTGCCCTCTGCGGTCTCACCTGCTTCTGCAAATGCAAGCAACCTGGGAAAGGACTCTCAGAAAAAGACCAAGATGAGGATGTGGAAAATGCTAAACCCAGTGTGCTTCAGCCAGCCCAGCAAGTAAGACATAACCTTTAATTTACTGTGATTTTTCTTTAAATGCAGAGGGTGGGAATGTTTCTTCTGTGTTAGGCTATCCAGTGTGTGATTTATACTGCCTATTCTATCTGCTTACCGGGTTCAGGTTGCAACAACATGTTAATGGAGACCAGGGGTAAACACAGAGCAGGGAGCTGAGTGACCCACAGGATTACTAGAGCAGGAGACAGCTGTCACATTATCAAGAGAAAGCTGCTATCAGCAAAAATAAGGGACGAGAATAGGAAATGTTGTTCAGTTGTCAAGCGAGGTCACAAGGGAGATCATTTGCTGAGAAGACTGGACTTTACCAGATAAAGCCAGCACCGTAAAGATGAGATGACAGAGTATTGACAGAGCATCACTCCTGCTGGGATCTCCTATAAAGCTGATTT